GCTTTCTTCAACTTGGTTTGCCAACTAGCCCCTCTAGCCTCCTTCTTGGTCCGTTTAAGGGCCCCTTTGAGAGTCGATGGCATATGACGGAGGTTAACCCAATCACGGATCACCCCCCATATTTCCAAGCTAAAAGGACATTCAAAGAAAAGATGACCCGATGATTCATCCTATTGAGAGATAGCTCAGTTAGATTAGTTTTAATCAAGTTGTTAGTTAGTTGAGGTGATTAGTTAGCTTAACCTAGTGGCCAGCTCATACACGTGTGAATTATATAAAGTGTAAACACATGTCATTGCATTTCTGATGATGATTTGGCTATGTACATCCTTGGTGGCTTAGGATCTGACTATGAGTCGGTTGTTGTTAATTTGACTTCTCGATTGGATTCCATTTCTCTATCTGAGGTACAATTCTCCTTACAAACTCATGAAATGCGACTTACAAGTCAGTCTACTTCCTCTCCACTTGCCTTTTCTACCACTACTCCTGCGACGGCCTCTGATTGCTCTCTTTCAGCAAATTTCGTCACTGCACGGGGTTCTTCTTCCTTTCGTGGCAATTACAGGGGTAGAGGACGGTCCTCTCGTGGCCGTGGCGGTCATTTTTATCGGAATAATGATAGAGTTGTTTGTCAGCTGTGTGGAAAACCTAATCATGTTGCTTTGAAGTGCTACAGGAGGTTTGATATTAGCTTCACTTGTCAAGATATTGGCTCTCCTCAGGCAAATCTGGGTGATTCTTCTGCCTCTTCAACTTGCTCTACTGGTGATCCTAACTGGTACTTTGACAGTGGTGCTACCACACATCTTACTCCCAGCTTTGACAATTTATCCATTCAGTCTGCTCCATATCAAGGTAATGCTAAAGTCACAGTTGGAAATGGTTCTCAACTTCCTATATCTCACATTGGTTCCTCTTCCATTAAGTCACCAAATTCTTATCCTATCCTCTTTAACAACATTTTATTTGTTCCTCACATAACCAAAAAGCTACTCAGTATTTCTCAGCTTACAAAGGACAACAATATTGTAATTGAATTTCATGCTGATTTCTGTCTTGTGAAGGACAAGACAACTCACCAAGTGTTACTGGAAGGACAACTTAAACATGGCCTATATCAACTAGATCTTTCTCAGTATGCTGCTCTTCATCATCAACTTTCTATTAATAATTCTTCTAGTTTACCTTGTGAGCAATCAGCTCTTGTAATAACTGATGATACTCTTGTCAACTGGCACAATAAGCTTGGTCATCCCTGTTTGAATGTTTTCAGGAAAGTGATGAACAATCTAAACATGTCTGTTCCTTCTGTTTTACCTTTTTGTGATGCTTGCAAACTTGGGAAATTGCATCAGAAACATTTTTTTTTCTCAGCCTACAAAGTCTACACAGCCCTTTGATTTACTTCATACTGATGTTTGGGGCCCATCTCATGTTGTTTCAGTGGATGGTTACAAATATTATGTTCATATTATTGATGACTTTACAAGATACACATGGATTTTTCCTTTAAAGTCCAAATCAGAAGTCCCTGCTCTTTTCAAGCAGTTTATTAGCTTTGTCCAAACTCAGTTTCACACTCAAATAAAATGTGTTCAGTCTGATTGGGGTGGGGAATACAGATCTCTTGTTCCTTTTTTTAACTCTCTTGGCATTTCTTTTCGACATCCTTGTCCCTACACTCACCAACAAAATGGCAAAGCTGAAAGAAAACACCTTCACATTGTTGAAATGGGGCTCACTTTCCTTGCTCATTCTCACATGCCTCTCAAATATTGGTAGGATACCTTTAGTGCTGCAGTTTACACTATCAATAGACTTCCTACTCCCACTCTTGGTCACAAATCTCCTTATCAGTCTCTTTTTCATACTTCTCCTGACCTCACTTTCTCAAATCCTTTGGTTGTGCTTGTTTTCCTTACCTTAGGCCCTACAACTCAAATAAATTCCAATTCAGGACTTCCAAATGTGTATTTTTGGGCTACAGCTTGCATCACAAGGGTTATAGATGTCTCAATTCTGCAGGGAAAATTTTTATTGCTATCACAGTCTCCTTTAATGAGAATGAGTTTCCCTACTTATCTCTATTTCCTTCTTCCCTTCCTACTGCTTCTCCTTCAGTTAATTCAAATCCTCTTTCCATTCCAAATTTTTTTCCTCCCTCTGTTTTGCAGCCCTTACATTCTTCTGCTCCTTCTCCTATTTCTTCTTCACCTTCCTCACATTCCTCTCCTTCTTCTCCTACACATCATTCTTCTTCTTCACCACATTCTATTCCTGGTATTCCTCTAGTGGTGGATTTACCAATCTCCTCTCCTAACTCTTCCTCAGAGGTTCATGCTTCTTCTCCTCCTCAGCCTGTTAAGCCAACTCCACCTTCTCACTCTATGGTTACAAGGTCCAAATCTGGGATTTTTAAACCTAAAAGCTTTTCTGCTAATCTCACATCTCTTCCTCTCCTTGAACCTACTTCCATTTCTGAGGCTTTAGCAAATCCCAAGTGGTATGCTGCAATGACTGATGAATTTCAGGCTTTACAAAGGAATCACACTTGGCATTTGGTGGAACATTCTCCAGAAATGAAAGTGATTACCAATAAATGGGTCTTTAGGGTCAAATACAAACTTGATGGCTCTGTAGATAAATAGAAGGCAAGGCTGGTTGCCCGGGGTTTTGAACAAACAGCTGGTGTTGACTTTCTTGACACTTTCAGTCCAGTGGTGAAAGCTTGCACTATTAGACTTGTCTTCTCTCTTGCTGCCACTTATTCCTGGTCCATCCAACAAATAGACATAAATAATGCCTTCTTAAATGGTGATCTTCATGAAACTGTGTTTATGACTCTACTAGAAGGGTTTGTAGATCCAAATTACCCTCATGTTGTTTGCAAACTTACAAAATCTCTATATGGCCTAAAGCAAGCACCAAGGGCCTGGTTCACTAAGATTAAAGTGTTCTTGTTTTCTCTACAGTTCAAGGAATCAGTTTCAGACTCTTCTTTGTTCTTTCAGAGGGTCAATGGTGCCTTGTTATTAATTCTCATCTATGTAGATGACATTCTTATTACAGGAGATAACCCAGCTGCTGTTCAGCAACTCATTGTCACTCTTGGAAATAAATTTTCTTTGAAAACCATGGGGGAAGTTAATCATTTTCTAGGCTTTGAAGCCTTAAGAACTTCTGAGGGTTTTGTTTTGTATCAGGCCAAATATGTTCTGGATATTCTAGTCAAGACTAGTATGGTAAACTGCAAGCCTGTTTCTATACCCATATCACCTGCTCATAAGCTTCATTTAACTGACAGTGGTGCATTTTCTGACCCTTCCTTCTATAGAAGTGTTATAGGGGTTCTTCAGTACCTCACCATATCTAGACTTGACATTTCTTTTGCTGTTAACAAGCTCAGTCAATTCCTTCATGCTCCAACTGTGCATCATTGGCTTGCTTGTAAACATCTGCTCAGATATATTAAGGGTACATTAACCATTGGGCTTCAGTTCAAGCCAGTTCAGAGGTTTACTTTAGAAGCTTTCACTGATGCTGATTGGGCTAGTTGTGTGGATGACAGAAGGTCCACTGGTGGTCATTTTATTTTTCTTGGCCCTAACCTTCTTAGCTGGAGTTCCAAGAAGCAACAGGTAGTCTCTCGTAGTAGTGCCGAATCTGAGTTTAGGTGCCTTGCTACTGCTACTACATACTTACTTTGGATGCAGTCTTTATTTCAAGAGCTTGGCTTGTTTTTTGAGGCTCCTTCTGTTCTATGGTGTGACAATATCAGTGCTGCTGCTTTGGCTTCTAACCCAGTTCATCATGCCCGTACCAAACACATTGAAATTGACATCCATTTTGTGCGAGAAAAAGTTGCTGCTAAAGAAGTTGAGGTGCGATATGTTCCCTCCAACCTTCAACTTGCTGATCTTTTGACAAAGCCTCTTTCACCCGGTCGTTTTCATTTACTCTGCTCTCAGCTGCCTTTGCGTGCTAAGTCCTCTTCAGCATGTGGCTCGTTTCAAGGGGGTGTATTGAGAGATAGCTCAGACTGCTCAGTTAGATTAGTTTTAATCAAGTTGTTAGTTAGTTGAGGTGATTAGTTAGCTTAACCTAGTGGCCAGCTCATACACGTGTGAATTGTATAAAGTGTAAACACATGTGCCTTCCATTATTCAATGAAATAAGATTTAGTTTTCTGCAAGTTTCAACACATCCACACCACCACAAAGAGAACCAGTCGGGTCTACATCAAGGAACTCTAACCAATCCTTTGTACGGAGACTATTGAGCACTCCTAGCTAAAGAATGAAGGAGTGTTTGGGGGTATTACAAGGCCCCCAAACTACCCCCGTCCAAGGCATCAAAGTACCGAAGTCGTAGCAACTTCTCAACCCATCTTGTTTGCCTCGCGAACTCCATCGATGAAGTAGGGCCTTTGCGGCTTACTCACTTCCCGCCTTATCTACCAAGATCCTTCGGATCTCGAAGAGGTATTTGAAAAGAGGCGAGTCATCCTTGCTCACTTCCCGCCTTTTCTTTTTTTAATGAATCTGTTTATGACATCAAGCCCATTTTAGGCAATTTTCAGCTGTTTTTTTAACTTGCCAAAAAACATTGAATTTGTTGAGAGCTCTACTGATTACTCATATGAGCAAGCGAAAAAGTTTTGCTGTCATGGAAACCTCATTGATCATTGTATTGTACGAGTTTGTCGAACTGTGGTCTGAGGAACAAAATTCGGACCGAAGTCTCGCTTGGACCCGTTATTAATGGTTTGGGCCATTGGGCCCTTTTGTTTTACGAGTAGCCCATACACACAAGTTTTTGGGCCCTTTTATTTTCCGAGTAGCCCGCACACTAACATTTCGTACTACAGAGTTGGATATTCCTATTATTGAAGTTCTATTGGTAAGAAGTCAATAAAAAATTGTCCCTTCCTAGCTACTAGTGCAATTAATTGCATATGGCTGTGTAAATATAAAATTTCCCCACTAAGATGGTTGCGTAATGTCAGAATGACAGTATTTATCTCAATCAACAAGACTTCTCAGTTAATAGCCGCAGCCAATAAAAAGCCTCGTTCAGAAGAAAAGGACAAACAAACAAATAAATTGTTAAAGATTGTTTTTTAAAAAAAATCATTAGAAGTCCTTTCCAGTTTCAATAATTACTTCGAAACTTTCATTGTCTAAGTTCAAAGTTTGTCTTGGAAGATAAAAAGAAAGAATTAGCATGAAGCTACACGAAAGCCCATCCTTCTTCAAGGTCTTGATAATGGACTTCAACCACCAGCTCGTAAGCCCATTTAATTTCACTCTCAAAGCTTGCAATGCATTAGTTTTTCGTGTCAAAATACTATGATATGTGGGGAACCAAACCATATATCAATATTTTTTTCTTCTTTCATCTTAATTAAATTCTCATCTCGCAGCGCATACCGCAAGATTTCTCGCGAGAACTCGAACGAGTCCTTGTCGCGAGCACGCGAGCGACACTGAGGGTAAGTTCGGGGGTTACTTGGGACGTGAAGGTGGAAAAAATGGGGGACGGTAATTATAAATTTACCGAGGGTTGGGGTGAATTTGCTAGGGACGTCGGGTTGAAACTCGGGGAATTTATGGCGTTTTGGCTCGTTGGGAAATCGCTATTCGATGTAGCCATTTTTGAAGTCAGCGGTTGTGACAGAGAATTTCCTCTCCTAGATGACGACTCTGTAGATGATGATGTGGAGTGCGGGAAACACGATGCTCCAGGTAATTAATTAACTATAATTAAATGGTTAAATTCACAATGCAGGAATGTTTATGTTTTTTCTAATTAATTTACTCACCCATTTATTAAATTTTGAATTCAACCCTTGATAGAATCAACGTGCTCTTTACATATTTTTTTTTTTTTAACTAAAATACAAATTTAGTTCTTTTTTTCTATCTAGTTGATGTTAACTGTTAAGACCATTATTTGCATCTTTTATCTATTTATTTATTTGTTTACATTTATTGTTCGTTTCTTATGTATGTAGACGTGATGGAAAATAAGCAGCATTTAAAAGCTCGTGTGGGATCAAAGAAAAGCCCACTGTACTTTGAAATTACTCTGAAAAATCATCAAAAGTCAAGATTGGTAAAGTTCTCAGCTATATCCATTCTTGACTTGAGAATTCGACAAAAAAAAAATGAAAATGAAATGATTCTGATTTTATCTTTAATTTTAATTTATTTTTATATTTTCAATTCAAATAAATTAGACACTCAGCAAGAACTTTTGGGAGGCTGCTGGTTTGCTGGGTAAACAAAGTGTGGACCTCGTGTACCTGCCTAAGCACCATAAACAGAACGTTGTAATTGATCACAGACCGCCTGGAAACAGACTGGACTTGGCTGCGGGCTGGCCCACATTCCGGAAAGCAAACGGGCTGGTCATTGGAAAGGCTTACAAATTTGAGTTCAAGCCCGGGAAGAATGTCATCCAGGTCCAGAAGTTGAAGACTGTTAAGTAGCCCCTTGAGGCCCATTATGTATTTTGCACCTAGTTTATCATGATGAATGAAGATGAAATCCAACTCTCTTTGGAAAGGCGAGTAATATGTCTTCTGGTCTAATTATAATTTTGAACTGGAATGTATGTTAATGTATGGATAAATATTTTGTGGACTGTCGCTGACTTTTGTTTAGTTTATTGTGATTATAGTTTTTGCTTTAACGGGTGTGGGCAACTTTTTAGTATTAGCTATTACTCAATCCTATGCACATGTATAGACACAAACAATTTTTTTGATGTTACTGTGTGTATACAATATTTATAATTATGAGTTTGATAACGAGTATATCACATTTTATAAATTTTATCATTAATAAAAAATAATAATATAAGTATAAATTATTTTATTTACATATGAATAATTATATTGCAATAATACGATTTTACTTAAATATGAAACCAGCGATCGACGGTAGAGCGTATATCACATTTTATAGATTTTATCATTAATAAAAAATAATAATATAAGTATAAATTATTTTATTTACATATGAATAATTATATTGCAATAATACGATTTTACTTAAATATGAAACCAGCGATCGACGGTAGAGCAACGATGGCAAAAGCTTCAATTTTACTTACATATGAATATTTATATGGAACTGATGATATGTGATACGATAATGTGTCGAATAGACGCCATAACCCAACCAACCATGCGTCGAATATACTCCATAAACCAGCCAACCGGACAAGACGAATTGGGTGGTCGAATGGAGACGCAAAGGCCGAAAGGAGGTCCAATGAAACTACAATGAGTCCTTTGGTCGAAGGCGATATCGCAGGCGCATGGAGCACCGACAGGTCGAGCTATGACCCTTGGATAGCCTGGTGGAGACTCGACCTAAAGGTACGACTAGTCGATGGATCGATCAGATAAGCAAAGGGTATAGCTCGACACTGGTAGCACTCCATCTCAAGGTAATCTAAGTAGGTCGCACGATAAGACAGTCTAATAAGACAGACTAATGGATAAAAAATGAATATTATTAAGATAAGGACCACACATGGATAAAGCCACGTGACCTAACAGGATTGGGCAGTTCGGGCAGTCGGGGCAGCCCAAACGGATAGTCTTAGGCAACAAGATTTGTGCACGTATTGAAGGTCATTAACCAGCAAGGAAGGCAATTCGGGCCGAACCGAGTTGGTTTGAGGTCTTTTATATACCAATATGATGCTTACATTACTTTCATTATCTTTGCAACAAAATCGCAATTGAATTAATCATGTTTGATAGGCTATGGAAAAATAAAAATGACAGGAAAGATCAGCAAATTAGAACATTATAGCAAGTCAGTCATTTTTATCTATTCATATATGACATATAGTGAGAAATTTCAAAAGAAAATATCTACTCAGTTATTAAAAAGATTTGATAAGAGATGATATAAGATATTATACTAGACCAGTTTTAATGGATAAAAGGAATATATTGGAGAATAAGCCTACACATGTCTTAAATAAATAAAAAAAAAAAAGGCCTACACATGTCTTAGCCCATGTGGATGTTAACTCGAAGAATCCATTCACCAAGCCCCTATTTGTTTTCTGGGATTAGGCAGGATATCCCGCTTTATCCTGACCTAATCCCATGTTTGGTTGCTAGGATTCCGGCCCTGGATGGAGTGCTCGGCCCGGGACAAAATCTGCTTTACCCCATGAAACCGGGATAATTCTATCCCCCCTTTTTGCCGGGATTACACCAATCCTATGAAGTGTAAAGTCCAATTTACCCTCATTTATATATATCTTTTTTGGATGGGCCCAAATAACAGATAATTACATAGTATATTTAACTCAAGACTGATGTTCAGAGAAAAATGCGGCAAAATTAAACACACGCTTTATATACTCATTTATATTTAACCTCGTCGCCGATGAGTAGGTGTGCGTGTGGAAATAGCCGGTCTGTTAAAACCTCATCCCCTCGTCGTTCGTCCGATGGAGACCCAAATATCAGACCAAATTGTTGACCTTGTTCATCGAGGAAGATGGCCAAAAGGAAGACCGTGGCCCTCGTCCGCGTTTCCAAACAGACTGCAAATCGAGGAAGATGTCCAGAAGAAGGAATGCTAGGGTTTGTGGTGAAATTACATCTGAATGTGGTAAAAAATTAAAGTGGGTTTTTGTGCGTGAAAAATTGAAGGTGAATTAAATCTCAATTGTAAGGGGAAAATTTGTGTTGGATGATTTCATTTTTCCCTTTTTTAAAAACAATAACTTATCCTACACCTATCCAACATAACAAACACAACATAAAATTAATTCAAACAGTACAATCCCACAATATAGTATTATTTTTGTCCAATCTCATCCCATTTATCAAACATGGGCCAACATTAAAATGAAGTCCATTCACCAACATTAAAATGAAGAATCCCCAATGGATTATAGATTGATAACTTATATGAACTGAAGATATAAAGATTTTTCGTAAAGATTTTTCGAGATTGCAAATCAGTAAAAGTATGAAAATTGTAAAATAATATTTATAGTTTTGAACTTGTGAAAAAAAAATAAATAATAAATATGCTCTACAAAAAATACAACTTTTGAACTTTCATATTTCAAAACTTTGTTTGACATTTTCTCAAATCACGACATTCATCAACTATTGACTTGGTACTAATAGTTCTTTTAATTTTTTATCCACTCCATGAAATCGAATATCTTCTATTTATAATTATTTCCTTTTCCCATCCCTTATTCAATTAAGCTCTATAATATAAAAGGAAAAACACTAAATATTACACTTGAAGAGGGTGAAAATTTACTTAAAAGATATAGTGTAGTTAAAGAAAATGTTATGGTCCCGTTACGGAATCATCCCGTCGGGTATTTTAACCGTTAGATAATCTATCTTATATTAACTACATGTGTATCCAACTGTTAAAATTCCCAACGGGGTAGTAACAGGATAGTAGCATTTCCTGCTGTCATAAATGATTGTTAGATAGATCATACTAATAATTAGTAATAATTATGAGATACATGTATAAATTCAATATGATTATAATATGTATTACATATTTTAGGTAGTAACATCTATATATATAGTAAATTAAAAATAAAAAATTTGGGAGGGTGTATATCTAAATTGACCCCTTTATATAATTATGTGTAGTGATATGTATAAAATTGATTTTCAAAACACCACTTCAAAATTTTATTATGAATCATGGTTTTTATGTTGTGTATTATTGTAATGTAAGCGTTTAGCAAGTAATGTACTCTTACTTGAAGATTTCAGTATCATAATAAGTTATATCATATATGTAGTTTATATATATAATATAAATATATACATAAGTTTTATTATTTTTAAAATTTAACTATTACCCGTAAAAAAATTTTATTTGCTATATTGAAAAATTAATAAAGTAACTTATGGTATAAAGTGGACAAAATCTTTTTGGTATAAACTTTTATTGGAATATTCAATTTTCTGTATTAGAGCATCTCCAATGCTATAAGTGTGAAAAACCATTATTTTAACACATGTTAATTAGTGATTGTAATGTTAATCCACATTGAAATAATGTTAAAAGACTAGAAATTTCAATGAAACTAGTATCTCCAATGCATTAATTTGATAAGAAGTTATTTGTATAGGTAGACCAATTGATACAAAAAAAATAAAAAATTAAAACAAATATAAAGTAAATTGATGAGTCATCATGTTTAACATGGTGTTAGATATTAGAAAATGGGTTCAACATTGTCAACATTAAATGACATCCACCTCATCATGAAAGAGCTCATGACAAGATGCATTGGAAAAAAAAATAGACACATTTTCAAAAGTTGATGATATAGATGACTTTTTATAATGTCAAAAGTTAATTGGAGATGCTTTTAAGTGACCGAAATTTTTTGCTTATAAAATTTTGTTGAGATGCATTTGTTTTGGTATGCTTTTGTCTCTATTTGATTCATTTTGTACTTTTAACTCCATCAATCCATGTTTATTAATCTTATATTTTTTTTATTTATTCAATCTTCAATATCATTCAATTCCACATTTTTTTAGATTCCTCCATTTATATATATTTGTGTTCATATGTTNAATACACTAATTTTAGTTTGTTATCTTTCCAAAAGTTGATCTATTTTTATTTGGAGCAATCACAACGTTAAAAAATTGATTGAGAAATATTAATTTATATTTTTATAATAGTTTAACTAATTAACTATTGATTAGTTAGTTAGAAATCGTATTTTACAGTTTTGATTATTTAGATAATTTTACGCTATATAAAAATAAATAAATATATTTTATTTAATGTGAAATACCTTGATTAAAAATTTCAAAAAGTTATGGTGAAATTGTATATACAATTAACTCAATTTATTGAAACCTTGATTAAACATTGCAAAAAGTAATGGTGAAATTGTAAATACAATTAACTCAATTTATTGACATAAATCGTGAATGATAGAGATCATTGTAGATACGTAAAATTTGTAGTCAATCAAATGGTATCATGTGCAAATTAATATATTAAAAATCAAGTCATAGTTTCTAGTTATATTTTAGTAATTTTTATAAATTTAATTTCTAAAATTAAATAATTAATTATTTATTATTTTGATATTTTAATTCTCGGCCAATCAAATGATGCCAAGTATCAAATATAATATTTTGGTAAATAAATCGCATATCTTCTAAAAGATCTTGAGAGATTTTAGTAGGTCCAAAAGATCTTATTTGGATCATCATGAACCAATCAAATCACGTCTTATGATTCTTAAATACGGTAGAGTTATCTCTCCTGGACTTATAAATAGAGACTCTCCCTAAATCCAATAAAGCACACATCACAATTTATATTCAAGTTCAAGAGCTCTAGAGATTTGTTCGATGAGATTCACAGTTTCTTGAAGATTCCAAGGCGTTCCTGGAGAATTGAAGCAAAATTGAAGCGGATTCAACTTCAAGACTAACGTGTAATTCGGAAACATGCTGTCAAGCTTCCGAATTACGTTAGTAAACGCAAAACCGTCGCGAAGAAGATCCAAGATCGACTTTGCGATGAAGACCAAGGTTTCGTATTCTTCGAGTTCTTGGGATATTACGGCGTTTGATACGAATCAAAACGTTGACTCTCAGATTAATGTTAATTCAAGTCGAGAAGAAGATCGAGCCGAAGATTTCGCTCCAAAACTCAATATCGTTCATGAGAAGAATTAGATGAGAAAATAGAGATTGTAATCAACCAT